TGTTGCAACTCCCCGAGCAGACGACGGGGACGTCAAAACTGCCTAGGTTTGTGGCAGTCCAAATCGCTAACCAGGGACATCCTGCAAGGCAACCCCGACGTCTCAAGGGGCCCATGTGTCTGTGGAATCTTTACTCGTATCACCCACTGTCTCGACAGAAATGACGACAGGTTCCAGTCTCGCAGGTGAGCAATCTTGTAGTGCTTCTGATTTTTCCTCTAGTCCTCTTACATCGGCTCCGGAGGCATCGACGGCTGTTTCCAGCCCGGTCGACGAGTTGGACTCGAATGCCCCGTATTCCCTCGTCACGGACGATTCAGCCGAGGCACATACGACAAGTGCCGTTGTGGAACCCCAAGATCCTTCCAAGAGCTTCACTGACTCTGTGCCGGATGTATCGACGGGACCGTATACCACGATTGCTACTGAGCCCCAAGAGTCTGTCGGAAGGTCAACTGATTCTGTTCCGACAGCCCAGGCCCCGAAGACGGCTTCACTATTAGCGTCGCTATGCTTCTGGTTCCAGTGCTTTTGTGGTTGGGAGGAGGATGGTAGTTGGACCTTGGTCTTGCATAACTCTGTACATGTAATAATGCCAAATCCAATAGCCGTCTTCAAGACTTCTTGCTAGGAGACAGCAGAGTCAATAGAGCCCTCCCCCGCCTAGCTCCCTTCTTGATCCAGTTCCGAGTCAAGACCCCCCAGAGCATAAATACGACGAGCGTGCTCGGCAGCGCAAACGCCAAGTAGACCCAGAACCGGCCCTGAACGACCGAGGCCTCGTCCCACTTGAACAGGGGCATCGCAAACAGCGCCGCAAAGAAAGTCGCCGGGAGGAGCGCCATGGTCATCAGCGCCACCGTCGCCATGGAGAAGCTATCCTGCTTGGCCGCCTTGGCCATAGCCGCCGACTGGCTCGCCAGCCGGATTCCACGCTGTGCGTCCTGGTGTGCTCTCAGGTTCGACACCTGGCAGTGTTAGAATATCTCGGCCAGAATGTGGCATGACGCACCATTTCACTCTGGACGCGCACTCGGTCGAGGAGATACTTCATTTGCTCCTGCAGCGACTCGGTCGACTTGAACCGCCAAAGCAGACTTGTCTCAAACGCAGTGCGGCAGTCGTCGTCAATAACGGCTGCCCTTCGAATGACATCCATGTCGCAAGCCAGCTTCATCTCGAACAGTATGCCGTGGATCGCACTAAACGTCCTCTCATACGACAGAGCCTCGTAGTGGAGATTACTCAGAGGACGAGACAAGAGCCCCAGATCCAGATCCTCGAATCGCTCAAAGTCAATCTGGGCAGCAAGTTGATTCTCAGCACGATGGCCAATCTGCGCCTCGACATCCCTCAGTCGTTTGACGAGCTGGCGGATAAGGCCGTGCGTCTTCTCCAGATGTACCTGGAGTGCCAGGAGGCCCGGCGCCAGAGGATGTATCAGGTCGCTCTTGAACCGGATCACGTCGGCCTCGCTGAATGGTCGGCTCTCCTCGCCGATACCCACCACGCGAATGTTGCGTGTGTCGAGGTCGCAGCTCCAGAGTATCGTCGCCACGTTGTAGGCCAGTCCAAAAGAGAGGTATCGCCGGTGGGAGCTCGTGGACTTGTGGAAATGCTGGAAGTGGAAAGGTCCCGAGTTAAGGGTGAGAAGAGCCGCTGGATGGATATTGCATGAGTCGAGAAGCTCAATAAGCTGGGTAGGCTCTATGCAATGGATTTTAAAGAGCTGGAACAGGGGTTTGCCTGTAACGCTCAAGTGCGATTCCAGAGTACTCGAACTTTGTATATCTGCTGAGCTGTGGTCATCTTGTCCTTGGTTGCTCCGGATTTGATGCATCACGAGGTGGAAATCCCTCCCTTGAAAGACATTGTCATGGTATAGCTGCCGGAACCATGTCGGGACTCGCTTTTCATCTTGGAGAGCTGCCTTTGCGCCATCAATTAAGCAATCCATGGCGTAGGTCCTCCCTGTGCAGAATCATTGCTTTACAAGTTCAATCAGCTGATCGGAATCTCGCGTCGCTGATTGTCAGAAGAAAATTGCAGATCAGTAGCTCGAATTGGACAAGTTGAGGGTTCACAACGGCCAAGGCTGGACCAATTGTGGCATGAAAAGAGGATCCCGTAGCCACGCAACAGAATGTTCACAAAGCATACAGTACCAGGTGGACTGGTCCGTAGGGATGGACTTGGCGGGATCACGAAGGACTCTTTTCACATTAAACCCCTCTTTTGCCGCTGAAGGCCGTTCCACACCAGCCGTCGCGCTTATTGGGTCTCATGCTCAGCCGCAGGTGAACCGCCAGAAAAAGTAAAGATAGACAGGATTACCACGGGAATAATGGGGTCAACATGAGGTACAGTCTCAACACGCCGTAGTCGCCAAGAAACTGAGCCACCTTTTGGTGCTCCCATTTTAATCGTTTGCCAACTTCCCACCTCTACGTCGTACTCCCAACTCCGATGCTCCAACTGCTGAAGGTACTCCGAACCGGAAGCTGACGGCAATCTTTCCAATCTCACGACGAGACCGCTCGACCACCGTCGTGTACGCGAGGCCAATTACTGAGAACGGTCCGTTCGCGAGCGCCGACTCACACTTCGGACACCGTCAACCACCCGCGATGCCGATGGCGCTGCCCACGACCTCACGAGCCCGATCATAACATAATTATTGAGTACATAGCTGCTACATTCTCAACGGCAAATAAATTTACACATCGCGACCCTGTCGTCTTATTCGGCACGACTCCATACCCTGGTTGCTACGCCGTCTAGGGTAGGCTTAAGAAACTGTTGCCACGGCCGAGGCGCTGCGTTGGTGTCTTGCGGCTGTCTGGCCGTCCTGACGCACCTGTTACTGTCCCTCGTACCCTTCTGACTCCTACTGCTGTTGCCCAAAACCGGCGAGACTTTTGGCATCGCCCACGAAGTTGCCGCTCCCGTCTACAGTGAGGCATGCGATTATCTCGACATCAATGGGCCGTGGGTGGCCATCTCCGTCGATCATGGGAATGCCACATTCTGCCGAGCTGTTTCTGTGCAATGCTGCAGTCACAGCTTCGGCGATGGCACCGGCCTGCTCGGCTGCCGACCCAGCAATATCGACAATATTGTTGTCCTGGCGGACAGTTGTGGACGTGTCAATGCATATGCGAAACGCGGAGTTGTGGTTGGCTAGAGCCGCCTGGGGTGCGACGGCGCTGACTGGCCCAGGGTATCGTCGTGGCTGGCCTGAGTAGGGTGGTGGGACGTGGTTCGCCATTGTGGGTTTTAGAGTAACACAGAACACGTCGTTGTAAATCGGATAGGTTCACAAGATTGGTCTTTCTGTGGGAGCTGACCTGGATGCTGCGAGTGGTGGGTTCTGACTCTTTATCCGAACGCCGCACTGTACATCACTCTTGAATATCTTTAGTATTGTTGTCTGAGTATTGTCTATTGAAGCCCCAATACGGCAATGTGCTCGCTATTGTCCC